ACACACACACACACGGGTATGTAAATGATATGACATTTAGATATGCGTTATTACGAAAATCTATTTGCTGGCATTCATACATACTCGTGCATATGAGTACTATCATATCATATCTGCTGTTTAGCAGAGCATGGCTATTATTTATCAATTTTGTGGCCAAATTTCAATGTTTACATATAAATATTTACGGCCAATTGCCAAATAAATCCACAAGGAAGAAGCAGAAGAAGAAGCAGTAAAGCGTTTGTCTCCAAGTCACACTCGTTTATATGCGTTGCCCGTTTCTCTCTCCCTCTCTATGTCGCTATACAAAAACGCACTCACACAGGCAGCGGCGCCCGGTTGGAGCGCATATCGCCGTATTGCCATCTCATTTCCGCCTTGGCGCACTTGGCCTATAGTGCCATCTCTTGCGCTCATGACCTAGATTCCAAAGCGCCATGGTGTGTGTGCACGTGATATATAAATGTGTATGTGTGTGTGTAATCAATGCAACATGTAGAGAGCCCTTGCGTTTGTATGCGTGTTTGCTTTTATTTTTAATACTCACTGAATTATTACGAACATTTTTGCCGTCGTCTTTGTAGTTGTTGCTGCTGCTGCCGTTGGTTCCGTCCTTCCGTTTTTGTATTTGTTGTTGCTGCTGCTGCTCTGTCGAAATCTCTTGACGCTTTCGTCAGCAACCGCTGCCGTCGCTCTGCTCTGCTCTGAAGCTCGCTTTATAATTGCGGCATTTTTAGCCGCATTTGGTTTGGCTCGCTGCCTTTTTGTCAAGTCTTTTGTTGAGGCTTTTTTATTTGTATATTTCGATTTCGGCTATGGTTTTTGGGCCGCCCTGCTGTATTAGCAAAGTTGTTGTTGCATGCGCTGGCTGAGCGTGAGGAAATCGCCTGAAATTGAGCGCGCCTTTGGACTTAGCCAAGTGACTCACAGAAGCCGCAACCATATGTTGTTGTTTCGTCGTTATTCAATTGGGGAAGCTTGGGCTTGGATTACGCTTTAGGCATGCCCTGGTATGTGAAACAATAGGGGACTTTGGGAAACGTTCAATTACGCTACCCAGGCACAAATAAATGCATTACTATGTATATGCTAATAGATGACAAATGGGACAATGGTTTTTCATTTTAGAAAGACACACACACACATTGAAAGGGCTGTGGAGGCATTACGAAATAACTGCGGGAAGGAAGGTAGAAATGAGTCAAACTTAAACGTCGTAATGAGCTGGTAAGGAAGTGGTTTGAACGATCCAGGGTTACAAAATGAAAAGCACTGTAAAGATATTTCCCAACTTTATGAGCAGATGCATAAATTTTCAGGCTAATAATTTGACATTATTTGTAATGAGTTTATTGTTTTTTTGCATTTTACAAGTTATGCAGCTGTTTGTTTATTTTATAAATTGATAACAATTACAAATTACCTAAAAGTTATACCGGAAAAGTTTGTTGCAGTTGAAATGTTTCTGGCTTTTTTAATCTCGGAATCCATTTTATAAATACAAATTAAATCCTTATATCTATAAATTTAATAGATTTTAATGACCAGATATTGCTGTCCATACTACAAGTATAAAATATAGTTTCTTTTAAATTTGACCGCAAAGATTTTTCATCTTGGATGAAATTTTATAACTTTTTCCGGTCAACACCAACTTTTTTCATTTTTTCTAATTTGTCTACATATTATATGTAAAAAATTTGGAGCTTTCAGGAAAAATAATTTCCCTAAGTCCAAACTCTGAGATAATTCAAATTAATTGTTTAGGTGCCCACATGACGTATACATAATTTTTTCTCAAGTTCAATTTTACGGTACAAATGCGTAAATTATTTTATTGAAAGGTTTGTTTACTCCACTGCCTTCCAACAATAACTTGCAAGTGTAGTGTCTTATGTGCTACTTAGCTGTATAAGCTGACATTTCGGCTAACCGGCCCACCCATCCATATACATACATATTTAAGACCCACGTTAAGCGCGAAGCTGAAAGTGTTTTCCATTAATTTTCCTATACCCATTCGTTGCGCCTTCGACAGCCTGTTTTAATTAGCCATCCACTTTATCAGTGTTAACAGGCAAACACAGCCACAAATTACTCATACGCACCATTGACCTAAATTTAGTTTGTCGCTGCTGTTGCTGTTTTGTTGCCAGCTTAAAAATAATAACAGTAAAATCTCTTGCCACCAAATGTCCGCCCACTCAGTCATTCAGTCAAGCCGACAACAGCGTCAGCAGCAACAACAATAATAGAAAACTGGCAGGCCATTTTATTGATTTCCCAGCTACAGCAATGAAAACAAAAAGAAAACTGTAACCAAAGCCACGTTGAAAATGAAAAAGGCCTTTTCAGCAACGACAAATTTGTATACAAATTGAACCACTTAACCCCACACATGCAATCACCACAGAAAGTGAAAATTTATTTAAAAATAAAAAAACGAAAAAAAAAACAAAACAATACAGAAAACAAAAAATCGAAAGTGAAAAAATGTCAACCCAACGCTAAAACAATAACAAAGCGCGTTTACACACATACGAACATAAGCATGCGACCGAAAGGGAAATTATATAAGAAGCTGACAGTAACAGTACCAATGACAATAATAAGGCAAATTGTATTGACCGGACCTGTGGTCTACTCCACTGGTCTGGGTGTGAAGAAGCTTTTTCTAAAGTCTTCGTTTTAATTAAAGATTGAGTGCACCCTTAACGTGCCAAGCTAACTGCAATTTATGTCTTAGTACAAATGTCCATAAATATTCAAAATGCTGGAGCGCACAACATAAATTGGCTTAGCCTAAGCCGCAACAGCCACAGCGGCCGGAAAACAGCATCACAAGCATCAGATATGTACATACAAACATCTCCTGGTTAACCATGTGCTATGTAACTTTCCCATTCTCTAATGCCATACAGAAGAGAGCGCAAATGTAAATGTGAGTGAGAGTCAAAGCAAAATGAAAGAAGAAGCGAGTACAAAAATTGGGAGAGTTTCAGCAAAGGTAAATAGTAGCAACAACAACGCGCATGTTGTCCCAGTTTTCACAAACTGTCCTTGACCTACTCCACTCAACAAAGTTGTCTAATGCGCGCCGCATGCCAGTTTTTGTAGTTGTTGCCATGTTGGTATGTGTGTCTAGATGTGTTAGTGTGTGAAAGAGTTGGAGAGAGCACTGCGCGCCAAAAAGAAATGTCGTAATAGGCGTACAGGCGGAGAGACCCATTAGAAAGCAGCATAATACGTGAGAGAGCGCACGCTCCTCTCCGCCAGATTTGCCGCATAGTGCGTGAGTAAGCCATGTGACGCGGTCGACGTAAGCAGCGCTGCCTTTATGAGCAGCGACGGCGACGACGACACAAAAACGCTTGAGACTCGTGCGAAGAGAGCGCGAGCGAATGAGTGAGTATTAGATGTGCATTGATGTTAGTGCACAAAACACACACAACAACGTTGATTATTTGTAAACAATACGCTTGACCTAAATTACAGTTACTTGTTTGAAAATGAAACGAGAAACACAAAAACAAAACAAAAAAAAAACGTGAAAAATATATGCAATTTTTGTTGCTGCTGCGTTGCATTTCAAATGCATATTTTATGGTCCGCTGTGTGCCTTTCTGTATGTATGCATGTTCACGTTCGTTGGTATGAGTGAGTGTGTCAAAAACAGCAACGCCACCTGCTGGTGCAGACCGCGCTTCCCCGAGCATCCACATCTGCACGTACATACATATGTATGTATGTACATACATATGTGTCTAAAAAGCTTATACTGTCGTATTTTATGCACGTCTATTGCATCTTCTAATCAACCCGAGTTGTTGTTACTGTTGCTGTCGGTGAGTGCGCCAAACGCCACCCCATCCCATAGCATGCAAGTAACCCACACACACACACAGACATACACTCTCACACAAACAAACTCACATATGTTCTATATTGCGTTTCAACTTTTAGTGTTTACTATTTTCATGTGCAACAACGTGGCGTATGCGCAATTTTTTCTGCGTTACTTATATTCTGCTTGTGTCTTGCGAATAGTCCTCCCCCCATTTGGGCGTGGAACTTTGATAATGGTGGCTAACTTTTGCGCATTAAAAACTGCAGTTAGTCACTGCTGCTTGTCAGTTTAATGGGTTAAAGGCAGAAATGTCGACTACAAGTAAATATTGCGTATTCACACGAATGATTTCATTTAATTGTACTCCACTGATTAAAAGTAATGATTATGTGTTCCACTTCGTCAATCGTTTTTCCAGAAAGATCTGGTTGAAGCGATTATAATATTATGTCATAAAATTCTGCAACGCTACTTTAATGTAAATTGTAGGAGAACAAAAATTTCTCAGGATATGAGAAATACCTAATTACTCATGCCATTACTAATTATGAGGTCATAAGATCTTTTGACATCTTCTACTTCACTAACAAGAATTTGTAATTCCGAAATACTTAAACATTTATATAAAACTTTTCTATTCGCTTTCAATATTACGAAAACAATTGAAATCTAGCAAAATTTTAGTCTTATGACTTCCTTCTTCTATATCATATAAAAAGGTATAAACAACGCATTAAATTTGTAAATTGTAAATTTGCATTCTACTCTAAAACTAGGAGAATTCTTAATGTTGTTAAACGTGATTTATTTGGGCGTATTTGTTATCAAAACAAAAAGGACTGTGATTTATTAATTTATTTATATTTATATTTATTTTCTTATTTTGTGCCTTTGACGCATTTGTTAAAAAAGTATAAATTCCAATAAACATCGGGCGCTTCTTTCTAGCTTCCATACTAGCTATTCTTGAAGCGTACGACTAAGGTTTTAATATTTAAAGATAAATAACTGAATAAGTACCTTTTGGCGCCTTCGGATATGCAATAAAAAATCCGGATCTTTCTGTTGATCTAATGATTTATATAGATACATTTTAGATATAACTAGAGTTATGCGACAAATGTTTTAATTGCATTATCTTTTATTACAGCTGTTCGTGCGGATCGAATGCGTGGTGGACGCAACAAATTCGGACCTATGTACAAACGGGATCGGGCGCGAAAATTGCAGGTGATGCGCCAAAGACAATTGGCCCTTCAGGCACTGCGCAATTCCATGGGCACGGACATAAAGCCGACGCCACTCTCGCCGGGCTATCAGCAAGCATATCCAAATATGAATATTAAGCAAGAAATTCAAATACCTCAGGTGAGAGGGAAACATCTGCTGCCCTATCAAGCAATAGTGACACAATTCTCTTTTCTTCTTCCTTTCCCCAATCCACCACCATCCCTCCCATGCTAATCACGTACAGGTATCCTCACTCACGCAGTCGCCAGACTCATCGCCCAGCCCCATAGCCATTGCCTTGGGTCAGGTGAATGCCAGCACGGGCGGCGTGATAGCGACACCCATGAATGGCGGCGGCAACGGAGGCGCTGTGGGCAATGGCAATAGCAACAACAACAGCAGCTCTGGCAGTGGTGGAGGAGGCGGCGGCAGTGGGGGCGGCAATTTGGGCGGCAACACAAACAGCGGCGACGGCCTCCAGCGCAATGGCGGCGGCGGCAACGGCAGCAGCAGTGGCAGCGGATGTCACGAGGGCGGCACAGGATCTCTGCAGAATACAGCCGAATCGAAATTGTGGTATTTAGAACAAGCAACCATCCGAAAAACAATCCAAAGCGAAACTGCAGCAAAATGCATAACTAAAGCAATTTTGATAATGTTTTCCAACCGTGTGTTGAAGTGTGTGTTTGTGTGTTGTGTGTTTGTGGACGGAACATCAAACTGAATTCACGAATACATCAAATATTCTACTCACGAACAATTCAAATGATATAGAGCTCTGTGAATTCATTTTAGCGCCATTAGCAAACAATTTTGTAGACAAATAGCCTTGGATTTTAAAAAACAAACAAACCAGGAAGAGTTTAGATTTAAAAAGGGTGGTCTTTTGGAACACAAATGCCTAGACCAATATCTTCAAGTAGTTTCGTCTCAGATTGTGACTCTATTTAGAGTTTAAAAAGGAAGCAAAGTCGTACATAGAGTAGATAGTTGTTTACATTAAACAGTCCTTTTTTGAAGGAGATATTTTTATAAATATTCGTTTAATAATTGGTAAAATTTATGCGTAACTGGCAAATGCATTTTATTTAAAAAAAAAAAAACTAAATAGTTTTGCTCTGAAGCTTGTCTTCCAATTTTGTTTCCTTTAGCACAGTTTTAGATCTAATAAGTCAATTGGTGCTTGACTCTGGAAATGTTACCAACTTGATTCCCCATAGTTTTTTCAATACTAACACAATGAAGTTTATTTGGGCTGCATTAGATCACTCACATGAATGTCTAGTCAATTAAGCCCAACCAAAACCATAAAAACCAGCTGGAAATAGGAAATATGATAATAGTAAATGAAAATTGCCTGTTGATATAGTCGAATCAAATATAAAACTGTGGACACTAATCAGAAATTTAAACAGCAGCATCTTCAGTTCAAAATGACTAATTTTCTAATCAAGTCGTCTCGGGTGAAGAGTGAACTCTGCAGGATACATACCAACTATATTTTATCTTTCTACAATGTAACGTTAGTTTTTATAGATTCTTATAGCTATGGCCGGTCAGGCGAATAATTTTAGAGAAACCCCACAAGGTGTAATGAATTCAATTCAAACTAGTGAGAATTCTATTTAAAAAAAGGCACAAAATTTGTCTGATCTTAATCTTGGTAGTCTTGTATAAATGTTAAAGGAAAAGTATTATTACTTAATTAAAAATCCTTAAAACCTACGATCGATCAGGCAAATTATAACGATTATAGAAGTGGCTTACATTTTCTGCTATAGCTGGTCCGTTTTAGAATTCAGTTCCATTGCCTCATTGAATGTCTTGATGAATTTGTGGGCAGATTATATGCCTGTCTGACCAAAGCTTAATTTCCCCACACACACACACACACACACACAAAGAGGCACTCGCACACAATGCCAATTGGTTAGCTTGGCAAGATGTTATATTATTATATTTTTCTTCTCGCATTGTTTAAGCTTCGATTCCGGCACGCATCCATCGAGCACAGCCGATGCGCTGATCGAACCACTGAGGTGAGTTGTTGTCGCAAAATTCCCCCCTTAAAAATGAAATGCACTTGAAACTGCGCGCTATACTGTGTGTGTTTTGTACTTTTGATTCTGTGCAGGGTCTCACCGATGATACGAGAATTCGTGCAATCCATTGACGATCGGGAATGGCAGACGCAACTCTTCGCGCTGTTGCAGAAACAGACGTACAACCAAGTCGAAGTGGATCTCTTTGAGCTGATGTGTAAAGTGCTCGATCAGAATTTGTTCTCACAAGTGGATTGGGCAAGGAATACGGTCTTCTTTAAGGATTTGAAGGTATGCAACAACAACAACATCAACAACAACTACATCAACGACAATCGAACCATAACCACAACCACAATCACAAAAGCAACATCAACACCATGTACACCACATAAAAGCGACAAACCAGTTTTAAAGCTAGGGGCCAAGTCTGCGACGCGTTATGTAAACCCAACAACAACAACAACAATAACGATGATGACGACGACGACGATCAGGCTGCGAGGCAGCGCAGTCGTCAATAGTGGAGCCGCGACTGCTGCTGCTGCTGCGGCTGCTTCGACGAGTGCTACTTAAATCTGCATTGAATTTCGATTTCATTTGCTGTCTGCTGGCAGCTGACCTACTTAGCTACCAAAGCCGAACCAGTCGGCGGCGACTGCGACGTCAGCGTCGACTGCAACTGCGACGCGTCGCCAACGAGTTGAGTGACGCAATTGGCAAGCAAAGCTAAGTAAAGCGTCTCTCTCACCCATACGAGTACAACGTTGCCATATCAGCGAGAGTGCTGAGAGCAAGAACGAGTACGAGCGCGAGCGCAGTGTTGTAATCTCAAGCTAGGCTTTTGACCATACGAAACGATAACGTAGCATAGCATTCAAACCATACGATCCATACGAATTCCAAAATCAAAAACGTAGCTATAATAAAATTAAATCTAAGCCCCATTCTCTTCACTCTGCACATCATTTATAGGTCGATGATCAAATGAAGCTGCTGCAGCACTCCTGGTCCGATATGCTGGTGTTGGATCATCTGCACCATCGCATCCACAACGGACTGCCCGACGAGACGCAGCTGAATAACGGTCAGGTCTTCAATCTGATGAGTCTGGGTCTACTGGGTGTACCGCAGCTGAGCGATTACTTCAATGAGTTGCAGAACAAGCTGCAGGACCTCAAGTTCGACATGGGCGATTATGTGTGCATGAAATTCCTAATTCTGCTGAATCCAGGTAAATGCTAAAAGGGTCACAGATAGTCATACGTAATGCGGGAAAACTTTATACATACATGTGTACAATGTGCTAATTAATGTATGTACTTAGATAGAGCAGACTTCTTTGTAATGCAAGCCAGTTATTTGTACAACTTGAATGATTACGATTATACAATATTTTCAAATGTTGACTTACTACTTTGAAAACTTAGCATCGACTCTTTTAAACCTGAATACATATATGAAAGATATATGTGTGAAAAGGTTTTCCTATGTTAATCATAACTGTTATGATATTTGATGTCTCCCTATGCCTAATACAAAATAACATCTATCTTTAGAGTTTATTTATTTATTTCTTTAAAAGTTCAATCCGATTAGTTATGCTGGGCTAGGCCTACCAATTCATTTATTTTCTAATATACTATAGTACATATTTAAAAAATGTATATCTTCCCTCTTGTAAGGCATTATATTCAGCCAGTGGTACATTATTTTTTGCTTCAGCAACAAGCTCCGATTCTGTTTGGGGGAAAGAAAAAATAATTATGAAAAAGTTTTATAAATTTACCAAATAAGCATTCCAAGTATTAAAACCGAAGAATTTGAAGCCAATTCTAATGTCAATTTTGTAATGAAATAATTTCTTACCGTCTCTGCTTCTTATATATTCACAGATGTGCGCGGCATAATTAATAAAAAGACCGTCTTGGAGGGTCACGAGAATGTGCAGGCGGCTCTGTTGGACTACACGCTGACGTGTTATCCTTCAGTGAATGTAAGTGGTGGCCTAAACAGAGCTATTAATCAATTATGCTAATGTTCTCTCAATTCCTGATTCTGCAGGAGAAATTCAGGAGGCTATTGAACATACTACCCGAGATCCATGCCATGGCGGCGCGTGGCGAGGAACATCTTTACTCCAAACATTGTGCCGGCAGCGCGCCCACCCAGACCCTGCTCATGGAGATGTTGCATGCCAAGCGGAAGGTGTAAGGGGCGGGGCGGGGCGCTCTGGCCAAACAATTAAAGCATACTTAAAGAAAAATTTCAAAAATTTGTTGAGCGTAAATGTGTAAATAACCAAACAACCAAACAACTTCAACGCGTGCAGGCGCAGACAAATGGAAAATGGAAAAAAACAAAGGAAAAGGAAAGAAAGAAAACCATCATCACTACCAATACCACCACCACTATCAACAACAACAACAACAACACACCACCACTCACATTCACACACATAAACACACACACACACACACATTTGTTGATTCAATGTTAATTATTATTACAAACTATTTTGTATTAGCTCTACCATTATGTTTAACTAATTAATTAATTAATTAGCTTGTAAGCTTAATTCGTCTTAATTTGTAGTCGTTCGTCTAAAGCAATTTTTAAAAACTAGACCGCAAAACGAAGAAGTAGGAGAACATTAAGGAAAAGATTAGGAGGAGGAGGAAGCAGCTTTCAAACAACAATTAGGCTACTTTTTCTTTAGGCTTTAACACAGAGCAAACAAATTTTATTTTTTGATATGTACACTATATATATGTATTATACATGCATGCATACATAGATATATGTACATATGTATGTGTGTATATTTTTATGAGAATTGGCGTAACTTTTTAAAAACGTCCTACAACTACAACTTTTTTATATTAAATAGTACATTTTTTCAATTCGTTTCGAAACTTTGCGCCAAGTGTCTTGCAAATTTTAACTAAATTCACTTACTAAGCAAATTGAAAGGAGAGTTAAAAATTAAAACCTATTATTAGCCACCACACATACCACATACAAAGAAAACAAAGCAAATTAGGTGTGTTCATTATACAAATACATATTTTAATTTTGTTTGTCTCTTCTAAGCGTACGTTTAAATGTTTAAAAAACAATGCAAACAACTACCTACAACAAACAGCAACAGCAACAACAACAACAAGCAGAGCAAGAAATTCTCTCTAAAAATATGAATAAAAAATAATATTAAAAAAGAAACAAACAAATGTTTACAAATATACATAACTAATTATATATATATATATGCGTGTAAATTAAATTTAGCTGCAAGTTTCAAAATGTATATTTAACGTGTAATTTTATTGTTTAAATGTCGAAAGAACGGAATGTGTAAATCTTATTTGTAAGCGAAAACAACTTCAACATAATTGTATTGCAAATGTATAAACAATATATATATATATCAAGTATATATATGTATATCATTATATTTTTGTTGTGCAAATCAAAGAAATGTTTCAAAAATTCAGATCAGTACACCAATTGCTTAGAAAATCAATAAATTTCCACCAAAAACGCGATGCAGAGCCAAAATTGGAGCACAATAGTAATTAAATGAAATAAAAGTACATTTTCTGTTCATACATATAAAACCCGATTGATGTTTTAATTTTGAACATTTTCACAAATTTCCCTCTCCATCTCCACTTTTGGCGATGCATTTTGCTTTTAATTGTATTCAAAAATAACAAAAAGAAAGTACTTTACAAATTTAAACACAGATTTTTGAAAATGCAGCGCAAGTATCACGAAATTTTGAATTTAAAAACCAATCACACAACAAGACACAGTTTGTAAAAATCAATATATCTAGCTTAGTCCGATAATCTGTAATATGTAAAAAATGCAAACGAAACACAATTAATTCGGTGAGAATTCGTTCGGACGCTAAAGTTGTAGGAACTATTAAGGAGCGGAATGCAAAACAACGCATATGTATGTAGGTTGCCTAGGTATATGTAATGCGGATTATGTATTTAGGTTTCTAGTTGGTACGATCTTCTGTATGTATTGTAAAATGTAACAACAGCAAACAAAAAAAAAAAGGAAAAAATTAAAAAATATATATAAAAAATGTTAAAAGTTAATGAGAAACAGCAGGAGTTAGGCAAGAGATTAGGTTTAGGCACGGGTTTAAGCAGCATTAGCTATATATACATATGTATAAATATACGTACACACATGCATGCATATTTATGTACACTTATGTACATGCCTATGTTCGTGTGTATATACGTACGAGTATATGACAGTTTTCTTCAGCGTCAACGTCTAACGTAAGCGGCGGCATATGTTGTTCAAAACAAGCAAAGCGCTTAGAAATTTATATACATAGGCGTTCTGCAGGAAATAAAATCGAGAAGGGTCTTAGACGTATATATGCATCTATACATATATATAGTTAAACAAGGAAACACAGCTATCGATAATATATATATAAAAATAGGCGTGGCAAAGGCGTAGGTATGTTTATTGTAAAATTGATTACGATGTGAACCTGTTATTGCAAATGAAAAGTGATTTTAATTATTAAGCAAATCTATATATATATATATACATACATATAAAATAAAAACAAAAATTTAACAAAGAAAATCTAACGGTTATATATATATACATACATTTAATGATTAATATAGTGCAAGAGAAACACACACACACACACTTTTAAAACGTTTAAGTTTGAAAAACTGTTGAATATGCAAAACAACGTAAGGAAGAAAATCGTTTACCTAAAAACAGAACTACCTAATTTTTAACTAATTACAATTAATTGAATTATTATGTTTATTATGATTATGTTAACATATATTTCATCTCAGAGATGTTTCAAACAAGCAACCAACCAACCAACAACAACAAAAGTGAAATAAAAATTAAATATAAAAGAGAAGTGCTCCATCGTTGTTTTTGTGCTGACAAATTCGTTTATTTTATAATATCGGTTGCATATATTGAAATGGCTGCGCTGTACCGCTAAGCGAATGACTGACTACTGATTTAGGACATGTTAAAGTTTTGCGTAAAATCATACTCGATGGTCGGTATGACGGTCTGCACAAATTTCAAGAATATTATTAAATATAAATGCACGCCCAGTTCGCCGCCGCCCTCCTCCACGGTCTGTATAATCTTTTTCATAATGTCTGCATGGCGGCACGGATGCACGGAAGCCATGTTGGGACCCGGCAAGTGCGGATGCGACTCCATCGTAACAGTCTTTTTGGCGTGATCCTGCGAAACATCCTCGTACATTTGTTCCACAGTTAGGGGCTTCCGCTGCTCGTCATAGCCCACAACCCAGAGGCGTGGTGTCTGGTAGTATTTGTCGTATGTTATATGCAAGTCGTAGGTGCGCGTGCGTAACACTGAATCGCTGCTGCCTCCGGCTGCGCCACCTCCATCTTCATCAGTAGCCTGCCTGCTTATGAGATCTGCTTCAGCTTTGCGTGTGGTGGTCGCCACAGAAGGGTCCACAAGCTCCAGCATGCCACTCTCCTCAAATGCATCCATATCAATGGCTTCGTCATCGTCTTCCTCCTCATCCTCGGCACCAGGAGCCGATTTATTACTATCGGGCGTGTGCATTTCGTCCTAGTGGGTGAAATGTTTAAAATATATGAATATTTTTTATACGTAAACGTCTTAATTTATGGTATCTGCTGACCCTGTTCTCATCCAAGGTTAATTCGCAAATTTTCTCCTCCACTTCTGTGGTGCCGTCATCGTTTAATTGATGTGTCTCCACCCAGCCGCCATCACCCGACTCCTCCTCCACGAGCGTCTCCTCGCCCACATACTCCATTTGCTTGCAGCGTCGGTAGCATGGCACATTCCGCGTTATCAGAAATTGTTTATCTGTGTGTAATTTGTGTAATGCATAATTGCTTAGCATGACCAACCAAGATAGGAAATTCATAGGCTTATCGCTTATTGCTCTTACCCTTTGGCAAGTATGGCTTTGTTTTAGTATCGTCGCCCGACGCCCACTGCCAGGTAGGACAATGGTGCACTAAATGGTCGCCAGCAGCGACATATTCCTCGGGTGTTAGCACACCAGTCTCTCGAAACTTTGACTCCTGCTCCCAACAAACAATTGATTTTAATAAGCAAATCACTGGCGCCAGCCAGACGAGCCTTTCTCAAACCACCCACACTTACCTTTAGAACGGGCGTTAGGTATTCGGCGACATTCAAGGCTGTGCCTTTGACGGTATTCAGCACACTTTGCATGACGCTTTTGTCTGGGACTGGGGACGTGATTTATAAAGAACGTAGCAACTTATTATGCGCCGTTAAGTAAACTAAATTGCACTTTCCACAACTTTCTTTTGTGATGGGCGTTAGGGATGGGAGATTTGTGAGATTGCGGCGTTTTCCAGCACCAACTTCCGCAACAGCTGTTTAAAAAGTGCTGCCTATCAATCTAAAAAAAAAATACAGCTGACCCACTGCACATGGCTAGGGCACTTTTGAATTAAAATGGATGGAGCTGCGCCAAACTTTTTGTTGCCGCCACCAAACTTTAACCAGAATATTAAGGATGTGGGAAAAACTCAGCCATTATATTTAACGCCATGTGGAATGACGCTGCTCCCACGGAGCAAGCAACCTCCGCCAATGTATGGAGCACGAGGTAGCACCGTTCCAGCAAAATACCTGACCGAAGAGCGACAGGTTTGTTGTTTAATAATCTCTTTTAATACCTATTAAGTGATCATATTCTGAATATTTAGAGTAATTACGTGGCCCCGCCAATACTGCCGCCGATTTATACAGCCCCGCCCCAGCCACAATCATGTATCAACTGTAACATGCAGCTGGCGACAGCGCAAGACATGAAGAGGCATTTGGAACAGCACGAAGACTGTCCTGCGGACGGCTGTGATTTTACCGCTTTGACATCTATTTTGGAACACCATATAGAGACCCAGCACATTACAGGCCTGTACAAGACCGTGAAGAAAGCATGGACAGCAGAGGACATAGCTGCTTGGCGTGCAGAACGACGGAAAAAGTAGGAAAAAACAGGCTTCATTTATTTCTATGATTATTTATTTCTATCCTCGTGAACAGATATCCCACCACTGCGAATGTGGAGCAAGCCAAACGTGCCCTAGAGCAACGTATAAAACGGGGTGAACGCTTGGAAGCTTCAAAGGCGCGTTTTGGCAAGCGCGAAGACCGAAGACGGACACAGCCGCAAGTACATAAAGACCAACCTCGACCCAAAAAGCGACAAAAAAAGATTGCTAGCAAACGTGCAGACAAGGTAAAGCAAGGAAAACCCACATTGAAGTCACCACCAGATGTTAGTCCGATGAGCGTTCCCATGTTTGGCGGCACTAGTAAAATGACAGACTATAAGCATTCTAAGAGTGAAGTTCCAGCCAAAGTTGGTGCATTGCGCATCTTGAGCATGTATGGCTCTGACAGCGAAGAAGAGGACGAAGAAGAGAGCGAAGTGGAGGACTGTGCGATGGAGTCGACCAGTTTGAAAGATTCAGAGAAATGCTTTGATACTCCAGCTACAACCGCCTCAGCTTCAGAAATAGACCAAGAACCAACACTGCTAGTGGCTGCTGTAGAAGACGCAACCAACGTGGAGATCAGCAAGGAACCACCAGAAAACAACAAGGATAAATTAGAGGGTATCAACGAGCAACAGCCAATTAACGAAGAATTTTCTTCAGATGAAGGACCCGATGAAGTCCCGATAGAACGTAAAACTGAAGAGCCCCTTCCGGTACCAACAATACAAAACTCTCAAGCAGCTCAGGAGAAAGCGCAGTCCAGCGCTAAGGTTGCCGACAAACGGCCAGTAGTGCAGCGAAAGAAACGATTTTATGGTCTGAATTATAAGCGGGCACGTCAACTACGCAGCCAGAACACAATGCTGGAGAAGTTACTAGTCTCAGACATACGCCACGAACGAAATGTTCTGCTGCAGTGTGTCCGGTATGTGTGCGAGCAAAAGTTCTTCGGCATCGGTAGCAAAAACATAGAATCTAAAGACGGAAATATTTCAAATACAACTTAATTTTAATGTGTACAAAAAAACTTAGTGTCGAATTAATTGGGCGGCATACCACCGCCTCCACCTTCACCACCCATACCACCGCCAACGGTGCCAGCATCGCCGGCACCACTACCTCCTGGTCCGGCAGCTAGTTGTTGCTGTTGTTGGGCTGCAGCATCTGCTGCCTGCTGTTGTTGTTGCTGCTGTTGAGCGGCTGCATCTTCCTGCTGCCGCTTCTGTTGCTTTCGAGCTGCATGCGAATGCCTAGCCTTGGTCTCCTCGAGTTCCCGCACGCGGGAGCGGGCGTGTTGTATGCGATGCCAAGCCATTTGCAGTACCTTGGCAGAGGCGTAGCCAGATCCCTCATGAGGCTGACCGGTGGATACTTGTGTGAGGTAGTTTATTTGCTCTGAGAGCTTGGACTCGACGCTGGAGAGGCTTTTCAGAAACTGTTGCGACTGCGTTTCGGCGTTCTTTTGCGAGCATTTCTCCTTGCCAAGCTCTTGCAGCGCTTGTCCTAACAATGAAAGCCGGTCATTTATATATTTTGTTGTTGTTGTTTTAAGCTTACCTGCACTCTGCATGCATAGTATTATTTCCTTTTCGATTTCATCAAGTGCATGTATTTTATCCAAAGGATTCATATTTGGCAGCTATATAAATAAAAGTTCGCGAATGAAAACAAAATTTGTGCCTGGTCGCGGCTGCAGTGCTGCCCACTTTATTTAATAGATTGGCAGCACAAAATTAAAACGATTAATCGATAGTCAAAATAATATATTCACTTGTTTACGCGAATGAAAAAAGTGCGCTCTTTTTGAATGCATTTGTGAGACTTTTTATTGCATTTTGTTACCTGCCCAGTCCAAACCAGGCATGTTTAAAATACTGTTTAGGCAGCACGAAACAATTTGCATGTAATTCTACTGTCGGCTCGTCCATTTGCCACACAACAAAGCCGCTCCCACAATTTATTTGCTTGTGCAGAGCGAACATAGCCCGATCGGCAAAGTGCGTCTTACACAGTCGACACACAAACAAGTGATCCTGTGAATCGGCGCGTAGAAAATGGCGAATATTGCGGATCTCGTGCAAGCCGCGAAATTCGCCCGTCACATCGTTCTGTATTATAAAAGTGGGCGTGTTGTTGACGTCGTCGCTCGTCAGTAAATATGGCACGGCATATAGCTCCTTTGAGCTGGCACACATGCGAAAGCAATAAAGATTTACGCGCAACGAAGCAGGAAAATCGCCAAATTGTTTTCCTTGATATCTCAAATAGCTGTCCGTGAGCAATGTCATGTCCACGGGCGTCAAATTATTGCTCTGAACGCGATTCACATCGCATTTCACACGATACTGCAGCGGCAATTGCAACTCTCCGTCGGTCCACTGTCGTTTCACCGTCACTTTCAGGCGTTTGACAAAGAATCCCTCCAGATCGGAATTGTGCTGCAATGCCAGATAATTGCTAATCTTCTCCAGCAGCAATGAAAAAAGTAAATCCACGGTTTCGTTTATGTCAAGAAAATGTGATATCTGCACCTCGCTGGTCTCATAGTACATATGCTCGCGTTTCTGGTTGATCTTCACAAAGAAGCCAATCGTCACGCCCATTCTGGTAGCTTCGTAGAAGAGAAAACGGAGCAGCTGCGGCACAGCGTCTGTGCCAGCTTCCAGCAGGAAGTCGCTCGTACGTTCGGAGGCGCTCTCATCGCAGAGCAAAAAGCATTCAATGCGTTCGCGTTCGATGCGCCTGAGCACTAGCTTCTCCTCTAGGCTAAGCTTTATATGCGTTGCGTCCTCTCCCTCCAGCCAGTGATGACTGTAAGGCTCGTTGGCAGCCACTCGACTATGACAGCTTTGGCAATTGATGCGCAGATTGTTTATCACAAGCTCATGGCGAAATGTTCGCCAATTTTCCGCAGTCTCAAAGATATAGCGTGAGTGTCTACGTCGAGGCATCGGAACCAATTGACTGCCAATCTCATGCTTATTGGGTCTTTTATATTAACGTGCGGGATGTGCAGGTATCCTGTTCCACATACATATGTAAGTACCTGTTAAAATATAATCATCCAGCAGCTGTGCTTCGTCCTCCAAATAAAAAATCCGTGCCTTCTCGCGTGTACCTGTTGGCGTTGGTGACTAACGCATTCCAGGCCCCTAATAAAAACACGGACAGGCAATTCGACGATGTTCATATATTGCCTGAAGTAAAGGTGTGGTTCTAATACAAGTTTATCATTTCATTATAAATATCAAGTTAAACGATAACTGTTAAAGTGCATATATTAGTGGAAATTCTTCGTTGCTATCTTGAAATCAGTAATACCCGATTTATAAGTCACTTGCACTTCTTTTATTCTAATCACTGTTGGGATCTCGATAAACTATTCGAAGCTTACATCTTCAGTGGTTTGTAATCAAAAATAACCCTCTTCGAAAGTATATGAAGATATATACTTGTATTTGAACTGTACAGAAGTGTGCATCTTTTTCTCATCTTTCTAACTATAAGACAGAGCTATTATAAATATTCATTCAAAATTATTGCATTATTTGTGCAAGACAGGTCAATTACTACTGCTGCATGTTTTTTTTACATTTTTTTGACATTTTAGAACGTAATAGTCTGAGATAGACAAGCTTTGGAACACTACCATTTTTATGTTAAAAACAATATTCTTGTTTTGTATATCTCTTACACACACCGATTTTTTTTCTTCCAAATTAAAACTTTGCTTTTATTAAGAGAGAGAGGAGTTGTTAACCAATCCTGACAGACATTGCAGGACACTCACCAAAAACTAAATATTCTTTTAATTCTGGTAATATTTCTTATCCTATAAATTTCTTTAAAAGTACCTTTCTCTGTGGTAAAAGTACCAACGATGTTTAAAAAATCTACCAACAATTTCCACTTCGGTCTTTTGCCAAGCCAGGACATCAACCAAAATTCACTTCACTTTTTAAAAATACCTTCTATAAATGCATAAGAAAATGTATTCTTTAAATTGTAGAAATATTTCCTATCCTATACTTTTCTCAAAAAATACCTTGCTCTATGGAAAAAGTACCAACGGTGTTTAACAAATTTACCAACAATTTCCACTGCGGGCATTTTGCAAACCAGGACATCGTTATAAAAAATTCCTAAATTTTGAAGAATACATTTTCAATTATTTTAGGGATTTCCTTTGAGGAAAATGTAGGTTATTTGGTGCATGTCCAGGTCAGTTTGTCACGGGAAAATATGCATGCGAGTTTTTTTGCTGTTTGTTAAAAAACTGCCTTTCAAATAAAAAGTAAAATATGTATGTGTGTATATTCCCATCGAGTATCAGGAAATGTGTTCATAATAAACCACCATTATAAACTTCTCTTTTTTAATTATTTTGTAAATTGTCTTTTGACCATAAAGGAAAATTTTTAAAATGCCACCTTTCTGAATTTCCCATTTTATTGCCTCTCAAAATTTTCCTTATGCCCAATAGATAACTGCCTTTTAAATATTTACATAGCAATTACATACATACTATATGTTCTTATATATATACATACATATCAACAAATAATCTTACAAAATATTTTTGTACGGACATATAAACATACTACCAAACAAACATACCATAATACTTATAATATGCATAGGTTGCTAACGAAATTACCTACTTCATGTCTCAGAACCAGTAACCATTATAATAGTTACTGGATTTTATAGTTAGTGGTTTTTATAGTTACGTGTATAGGCAGATAATAAACCGACGTTGCCAAATTTCCTACCTTATTGAATCCATTTTGAAGCAAGATATACCATCTTTGTCAAAATGGTCCCCTAAGCTCAGGGAAATTATACTCAGAACATAAAAGCCTAAATTTTAAATATTCCTACGGACAGGAAATGCCAAAAAGGTCCCAGCGTTTGAAATTTCACCTTCCTGTTAGCTATGACAAGAACCACATCTGTTGTAATTCCCTTAAAAGTACCAAATTTGTTCCTCTTTATTTAGTTTTCGATTTAGCCACCTAGTAAGAAAACGTTTATAATGTACCAGATAATAAATAAATAAAAAAAAAAAAACAAATATGGTTTGTTTCTAAATAGTTATAGAAGACAATTTTGATAGCTGTATGTGTTTGGATACATTTTTAGCAGTGCTTTTTAATTCCGAAACGTTCTATTATATCTTGTTTGTCAGTTTAAAACAAGGTTTTCCTTAGTTCCGTTACTTAGAACTTGCCACATTAGAAGTCTTCCCATTTTAGCCATTTCTTGAACTATTCAAGGTAGCCCCTGCACATGCATAAAGGGATATTTACTTGTATCCATCCCTATCTGCTAACATTGTTGTAAACAGGACAATCAACATTTTTAGTACAATGTTAGCGAAGTCCTGCCCGTTAGCTGGCTGATATCTTGCCCCTGCAACTAATCGGTCGTGGAACTTGTGTGGCGCGGGCCTCAGTAGCCAGCTGTGCATCATGGAACAAGCTCAGTCGTTTAACGTAGTCGCTAGAACATGGAGGACATGACAGGCAGGAGCACAGGATCGGCAGTCGAAAAATTGTTAACGGTATTCGTAGGTAAACGACTGTCGGCAACTGCCGTGCCGCCGTTGGCCTGTTTGCTTGCTTTATGGCTTCTTTAGTGGTTCAAGCATATTTAAGGCTTTTGCGTGCGTTTGTGTGACTCGTCCTTCACACAAACACACAGACGCACATATATATTTATATACACCATGCCACACTATGTCTGTGTGTACATATATATACATATATATATTGTATTTTTGTTGCCGTGAAACCTCACGTGTGCCCGTGTCGGCTCTTTCCCCATCAACTTATGCTGCAAAAACTGCTGGCTGGCATCTTTTGCGTTTTTCGGTTGTTGATTTTTCCTATTTTAACGTGTTGTGTTTTCATTTTTTTTTTTCATCTTTGCTTTTACCCGGAATTATGGAAACGTCCTCGTGAGGCGCTCTCGTTCTGCTTCTTTGGTTGTTTGGTTAGATAGCAAAGCATTTTCTGCTATTTTTTTTGTAACGCCTTGCCATTGCCTACATTTTTGTGTTTTTGTGTCTTTGCATTTGTCGGCCGTCTGTTTTGGGCTGCCTTTTGTTATGGTCTGATTAAAAGTTTCTTCCTCTTTTTTTCCATAGTGGCGGTTTGGGTGCGAGTTTTCTATTTTAATTTAAAGTCAAAAACCTTCGGGGGCTTCAACCTAAATTTACTGTTGCCTTCAATTAAGTATTTATACTATTTGCCTTCCGCTTTGTTTGTGGCTCAGATGCTGAATTAGCCATTGCTGCCTTCAATTTGAAAATGCGAATGTTCGCATACATTTTTTAACTGTGCAAAGTTTAAATTAGATGAGATCATTTGCAAACAAATGAGATATTTAAGCTAGTGTCGCTGAGCCGCCACAATTTCGATTTGATTTTCCTTGTTTTTTCACGCGTTATTCACTCGCCAGCTTGTTACCTTGAGCGATAGGTAGGTGGCCTTATATGAAAAGATGTGTTCTCGGAAACATTCTTTATAATATTATGTGTATATAACAGATGTCGCTTTGACTACGCTAATACGAAGCCTAAGAAACGCGAATTGGAATCATTAAAATTACAATATATTTTCAAGAGTATTTTACGCATTTGAAAAATAAAAAGCAAACTCTGCTGGCTTGAAAGAGTGATCAAGAAGAGGGCCCGATTCTGTAGGCTCATCTTCCTGTTTTGTTTGTGTTTGATTTGCACAACAAGCTTATGGTTTCTATCGATCGACTGGTCAAAAAATGTACTGGCATTAGCAAATCTACGCATTTCCATTTAATTTGTCAGATAAAAAAAAATAAATTTAAAAAAAGGGATACTTTGTGTGTGCGGTGTGTGACGAAAATATTTATTATGTCTTTTGTTTTGTTTATAATTTATATAATAAAATTGCAGGAATATTATTTTTAGCCCCGATGAATAAAATTGACGCTTTTTCACTGACCAAAACATTTTTATTTATTGCGTATTACATATTGAATTGAAATTTGTTATTGATAAAGCCACCAATCTACTATTTTTGTGAGGCTTTCTGGAGCACTATTTTTATTGAAGTGCTATACGCATACTTTTTCGCCAGCAATCTAAAAATATTCAGTTTAAATTAGTAAAATTTTATTTGTTGCAATAAAATATTCTTTTATTACTCATATGAATTTTATTTCATTGTCTCGTTGTGCTTTATGGATTAATTCACACGACAATTTAAAGATTAGTTTTCTCCACTTAATTGCTTGACTCTGCCTTTTGTTTTCTATATGAACATAAAATCCAACAAATAAATTTAATGACATCATATTTCTAAAGCTCTACTGGACGTGGCTCTACTAATAAAGTTGACAAAACGTATTGTTTGTGAGTTGAATTAATTAATAGCTCTATAGATTGACTTATGACTGTTTTGTCTAATGTTATTGTGTTTCCAGGTGGCTGACATTTGATCTGTTTAAAGGAGCAGATAATTAAATACAAGTAGAGAGGTTAACAAATATACATTTATATCTACTCGTATATACATAGTATGCACAGCCCTTTTAAGTTGTTTATCAACAAAGCTTCTTTATTATAATGTGCATGTCCTTCTCTACAGTAACGCGTTTTAAGTCCTTTATCACCCAGAAACCTTTGATTTTGCTCTTTTTCGCCTTCTCATCCGCATGCCAACGTTGGCTGGCTTGTGCTGGAACTTTTCGCCTGTAATTAACACTTTGTTAAGCTCATAAATCGTTAAACATTGATTTTTAATGACGGCATTTTCACGCTTCGCTGGGCGATATAGCCCTCGATGTAACACTATGGGATGGAAAGGGGAGTTGGGGTCCTCAGCTCATTGAACTTTTTGTTATTAATTTATTTTTTTCGGCGCAGGTTGTCGGAAATTGATTGCCCCATTTATATGAGTACCTGAGATAGAATCGTCTGCTATAGATATATGTACATACTATATATGTATGTTTTATATGTGTATGTATGTTATGCCTCATGCATATAATTTAATGTCACTTTGGAATTGGCTCAACTTTTAAGCCATAAAGTGCCGCAATAGAGGCACAAGTTTTTGCTCTCACACTTAGGCGGCACTTCAGTTTATTTTTGTTATAAAAACATAATGCATATTAGAAAATAAAAAAAACGCAACACCAAGAAAACAGTATAACA